CATTGTCCTCGTTATCCAATTCGTGCTACAAAAACAATGTCTTTACTCCGTGCTAGTGGTGGATATATCCCTTGGCCAACAATGACATATAATAATAAACATTACGATACATTTTTACAGAGGACATTTTCAATATTATCCGGTGAAAAAAATCTTAATCCAGACGAACATTTGTTATCCGGATCAAAAGTCAAATGTTCAAAATGCAAATTGCTATACGTATTTCTATTAAAAGCAGATGAAGATAGACATAATCAATGGATACATGCACCAACAGCGAAACTTAAAAGATCTTCAATTCGAGTCAATAAAATCGTAAAACGAAAAAGACTCTCTATTTCACGTGAATATAAATTAAGACGTTCATACTAATATTTAATTATTGTAATTATTTTGAATAGTCAACTTGAGAGAATTTCAATAAATTTAACTTATCTACATACAGAAATTCTTATACAGAAATAAAAAATTCATTGTTTTCGGAGTAAATAAATAGTGTGAAGTTAAAGAATATTGAATGGAAAAACAAATAATACACTTCATGTATACATACACATGCATCAAAAGAAACAGACAACATATGAAAATGTAATTAAAATAAATTCGTTATGTCGCGGCAGAGCGGCATGAGAACGGCAGAGCGGCAGAACGGTAGAGCGGCCGGCCGACCGGCAAACATTTTGAAATGTTCCCTAATGTTGTGGAGACTTGATTTTTTTTGTTAGAAAGAGCAAAGTGCCTAGTGCAAGAATATATAAAAGAGTTTGATTGGAAATGTTTCTCGAAAACTACAACAATCTTAGAACAGAAGACGTTGGAAAACTCTTCCGCAACTTTTTTGAACTTAGAAAAGAATTCCTATAATTAGACAGGTTATCTTTTTATTCGTCTAATCCGGATTTTATAATATAAGGATAGAGCACTATTGCGTTACAAAAAAAGAAATTTTCTACATGTTTTATAACGGTTGAAATGAACGCTTTTATGATATCGTCTGTGTCATCGATTTTTCATCATTGTTGGTAGCAATCGAAAAAATAAACTCTATTTCGCAGGAGAGATTGCTAGAAGCTATATATTTTATATGGAAAAGAAAGTTTATTGAGTACTCTACCAAATAATATTATTTGGAATAGGACGCAACTTCTCTATGAGATATTCAGAAAAAAACTTATTTTCACGCTGTAAAACCAAATTCGAACAACTAATTTGTTTTTATCAACGCGCCTTTTGTTCATTCTCTTGTATGTTATACCAATTATTTTAATACCAAATGAAAACCTTCGTTGTAATGAACAACTGTATATATATGGTGCTCGAAAGTGTCGAAAGTGGCTAATGAAAAAGGCTCAAACAAATATTTTTGGATTAAAAAAAATGTGACGAAAGTTGCGGAAGAGTTTTTCGGAGCCTTGTGTTCTAAAACTATTATAGCCTTCGAAAAACATTACAAATCAAATTCTTTTATATATTTTTGCACTAGACACATTGCTCTTTCTAACAAAAAAAAATCAAGTCTGTACGATATTGCGTTGCAGAGTTATATCAAAAACAAAATTAATGCAAAACTTTTGCCCCACTCGTTAATAAACAATAATAACGCTTATTATGGAAATTAATCTTTGTAATTGTCAAAAGACCATCAACAAAATCATTTTTCAGAGGTTTACTTTAGTGCATTTGAAGTCATATTATACATCGTAACTCTAAAATAAAGATTGTGTTTATAAGAGAGTAATTTCAAGCTGCAGACGATGCGTGTCGATCGTTGCTCAAGAAGTCATCATTAGGTGAGTTCTGTATCCAATGGTAGATACGTATAATCAAGGAATATCTAAATAAACCTTAATATTCAAGTAATATTGTTGAGCATACCACGACCGGTTTCGACTTTGCTCAAGAGTCTCCTCAGGTGGCTTAAGACATCTTAATCGATTACACTAAGAATCAAGTAAAACATCTTCTACACTGTCGTATGAAAGCAATTTTTTGACGAAATGTAGAAATTTACAGAAACTGTGGTATCAAATTTAGTTGAGCATAGTGTTACGCAGAGTTGTCTTACTTTGATGGTTGCTTGTGTTTTAATATTTTGTGATCAGTTTCTTCTTTGTGGAGTGGTGTTTTTCGCTGAGCTATGTTTTGTGTTTTGTTTGTTTGTAGGTATGGTGTGTGGTTTCTCCTGTTTTATTTTATTTGAAATAGATGAATAAATGAATCCTATTGTTTTGTATAGTTTTGTATGAAAGAATTTTGGTTTTTATTTATTTTTATCTCATATTTTTGCATAAACGGAAAGTGTTAATACAATTCAGATGTTGCTGAAAATGTTTGTTATCAGAATAGGTCGTAATATCTGTTGATCATGTATTGTTTCGATTAGCAGCACGTTTGGATTCTATTAAAGTAACACGTTATTATTTTTGAAGTTGTTTCGGTGAGGCAGAAGTTAGAATAACGGACACTTACTTGGCTGGAAATCATATCGACGGTAGAGGTCACGTGGACGCTTGCGCCGTATGAACTCGGCTTTTACTTTTGCATTATTTCGACATCCTATTATCAGCTTTGTATGAGTGACGTTTGTGCCTTTGAAAGTAGTATGATGGACTTTGTGGATATCGTGCTTGAGACTTTTTAATTTTTTCTCATATGTGTAATGTAGAAAGAGACATTGTTTAAAGTTTTTTTTCTTGTCTTGTTTATTGAGAGTCGGATGTTGTGATAAAACGTTTTGTTGATTGTCATCATCATAGTGTTCAATCTGGGATAAGGCTATGTCCAAAGCCAGTTGTGATTGTCTGAGAGTAGGTGTCGGTGCTATTTGATTGTATATAGTATTAAATTGACTTTCATTAGTGATCATTGGTAGAATGGAAGAATATGAATCATATAGATTGTATTGATTGAAATATTTTCGAAATTCACTATTTATATATGTTGATGGATAACTAGAGTTTGATTACAGAAAAGAAAGTTTGGTGTATATTTGATATATGTGTTAGATAAAGAAGTTTACCCGTTATACAATATCTTATAGGGAGTAGTTGTTGTAAGTAAATCTGAAGTAGAAATTCAACAGACCTGACGAATATATTGGACATTAGTTGGTTTTATCGTTAGAATCAGTTTGTATTGTGGTAGTTGAACTAATGTTGTTGCTATCGTGTACGTGGGCGGAACGATTTGGTTTGGGATGCATGTTAAAGTTGAAATACGTATGTTGATTATTTCGCCAGGTGAATGGTGAGTATGATCTGGAATTACAAGAAGTGAATTTTATGATTTGAAATGTTTTGATATATCTATTTTTATCAGTAAGTAAGTATTTATTTTAAAAGGGAAATATTGTGTAATAGTTTAGTGTTCTATGAGTAAATACAGTAGAAAGGTTTTTGATTGAATGTCATGAGTAGTTTTTGTTGAATGTCATATTGTGCACGTTGTGTCATACTGTTTTCTCGATCGACAATTGTGGTCATGATTTTGTCGAAAAGTGAAGTATTTTTATGATTAAATTTTGTGTGTAGTAGTTTGTTTTTTTCTTGAAAAGCTTTTTGTGCGTAAGTTTGTGCCAATTCTTCGGCTTTAGCCAAAGTCTGGACGCCTAAGTCATCGGTTGATGTTCGTTGTGTTTGAAAAACTAATTGGGTTAATATATGATTTATATTTGGTAATTGGAGATCCTGAAGTGTATATGATGTTGGTAGAGTTAGAAATGGCAACCACTTCTTAAACATAGCCATTTCATATCGGATTACTTGTTCACCATGAATAGCTTTCCATATTATTTTTGCTGAATGAATCTAGAGAGACATATGAATAGATCAGATATTATTGAATAATACATTTACTAACCGTGGTCTTTGCAGTTCAATACGTAAATGATATTGATCTTTATGAATGAGATTATTTGTAATATTCATTATTTGAGTCATATCAATAAGAGCAGGTGCTTGTTTCATGTGTTCATTAATATCATTTTGATTCTGTTCAAATTGTTGTTTATATTTCTGTTGTCGTTGTTGAATTAACATTTTTGATCGACCATATGTTTGGCACATTGAATTCGCATCGGCCATATTTTTCGATACTCGTCCATTCCAAATGCCTTCTGTATTGCCGAGATGATAATAGTAAGACCATTGTTCATTTTGTAATTTGGAATAATTTAATTTATTGACGAGTTGAGTCAGTTGACGAATATATAAGAATATGTCTTCGTTATTCAACAATTCATTTAAAGCATCTTTATTAATATCGTCTGATGTTGATGCTAATAACATTTCTTTAAATTTGATGTTAGATATTGTCAAATAATCAGTTAACAATAGTGTTGGATTAGTACTTGTGGTAATATCCAAAAGATTTGATGTCTTTTTCATTGGCGATTGTTGTGATACAGATAAATTTTTAAATTGTACACTTGGTAAAGTATATGGCAACTGAATGGGATGATTGTCGGATACTTTTTTCGTTTGTATCGGTAATCGACGATGTTTCTTTTTGAAATGTTGTGCTTTACGAGTATGTTGCTGATGCTTTTGTTGAGATTTATTAACATTCATGATTGATATAAGTTATTTAAAATATCTAAAATGAAAATAAACAACATAGATCTGTTAAATAGAAATAGAACAAATACAGAAAATGAAAAAAACAACATGAATAATATACAAATAGTTTATTGTACAAATGAAATGAAGAGTTTTTCTAGATAGCTTAACAATGTTCATTAGTCTTTGTTGCTGTTGTCAATGGTTTAATTTCGTTTTGGTTCTAAGAGAAAATTAAAAAAAAAACAGTTTAGAATTCGATAAAAATTCGTCATAGCTTACTTTTTCTAGTGGGTCTTTCAACAATGATAAAGATGGACGTTTTCGTGAAAGTTCGAACTCTATATTTGGATCGATTCGATGGCCGATAATAAATCTAATATCCGCATAACTTGCATCCTTGAAGAAGCTATCGTGTATCATATGTATTTCTCGTGCTAAACCTTTAAGTCTTGCCTCGTGTGTAACATGTACAAAGAGATTGTTTTTGAATTTATTATTATTTCGTTTGACTGTTGCCTCCATGTTGTTTGTATTTATTTGTGTAATATTTTGAGTATTTTGTATAAGATGAACAGCAGCTGCACTCGTTGCAAGTTGCGTTTGTTTAGCCGTCGGTTGAGTGGATAATTTTTGACGTAATGCAAAAAATTGACTTGGATTAGTAATCATAGGTATAAATGACAAAGAAGATGATGACATACAGTCAGCAAAGAATTTTTGGAATTGTTGATTAATATAATTGGATGGATATCTAAAAGAAATTAATGATGTAATAGATCAAAAAATAAAAATAAAAAATAAAAAGATGATTTGCCTATTGTATAAGGACATTAAACGAATAGCACGTCGTTCGTTATTAAATACTTCAAATGATGATGAATATCGTACAGCTCTAGTGAGAGCCGTATGAATCACGTTTTGAAATACATGTCGTGGATGATCGGATAAAAATGATACGACTGTTGGTTGAGCTGAAGGTTTATGATAGACCGATGATGCCAGAATGCCATTGTTGTTCTTAACCAAAACATCGAGGAATGGAACACTTTTACCAATCTTATATTCTGATTTAATATTTGGATGAAGATTATTTACTGCTTCTAATAATTCTTTCACCTTGTCTTCAGATTGGTTACATGTAAAGAAAACATCATCAATATAACTACAATAAAAAAAAGAAAATCCTTTAAAAAATTTTAATTAATGCTATTAAAACTAAACACTCACCGGCCATATATCTCATGAGAACCTAATTTTGGTAAAATAGTTTGTCTGTCCCATTTCCACATGAAGATATTTGCTAATGTTAAAGTAAATGCTGATCCCATAGCACCACTAATAATTTGTCGATAAAATTTATTACCACACCAGCTAATTCAACAATATTATCAATTGAAAGACCATTGACTCTTTCACAATTATGTACACGAAGAAATTCAGCAAGTATAGCTAATGATTCTTCTTGTGGTAACATTGTATAAAGATTTGTAATATCGAATGTAATGAAAAGAGTCGATGCATTAAAATAACCTTTTTGAATATATTTTTGAAGTCGATCAAGAAGATCAGCACCATCCACAAACATTGTTTGACGTACAAATCGATCGAATAATGGTCGAATTGATTTATCTAAAAATTGTGAAATTTGCTTTGTTGCAGCATGAATTGTATTTAAAATTGGTCGAAGTGGTGTGCCTTTCTAAATCAACAATATAATAATTCATAGATGGAATAAGAATCAGATGTATAATATGTGATTACCTTATGTGGTTTGGGAATAAAATACATATAAGCTAATTCTGTCTTCTTCCGAATAGGCATTAATTTTAATCTTTACCATTCAGTTATTTTTTTCATTGATTGTAATTGTTTAAGTAAACGAGTTACCGGACAGATGATATCATTGAATGGATTCGAAGTTAATTCTTCATAAGCACCTGTTGTTTGTCGATATTCAGCTGCTTTTCGTTCATAATCAATTTGACGACCAATATGAAGTACACCACTTTTATCAGTTTCACATAATATAAGTTTATGTCTTTTTAATTTTTTCGAATTGATTGAACCATTTTTAATTCACGTAGAGCACGTATTTGATCGATTAATGGTATGATAGTCATATAACTTTGAGTTAGACAGGATCGAAGTCGATCAGAATAGGATTTGTATAACGGTGATGTTAATGGTATTTTTGGTAGATCTGTGATCTCGGACATACACTTCTTAAGTTTTTTCATTGTATCATCGTGTTCTCTATCAATTCGTTTTTGTAGAGTTTCCTCTGGAAAAAATACACTTGGATTTGGTCGTATATAAGTTGGTCCTAGAAGAACATAATACGGGAATACTGATGCTGAGAAACTTAGAAGAATTAATTCTTACCTCTTGAAAGATAAGCAAGTTGACTAGCAGTAAATGGATGATACATGAGATCGACAATGACATTCGGCCTGACACTGACTGTTTTGCTTGTGGATTTTGAACGTCGTTGAACACGTAATATTTGTTTTCGAGAAAGAGGTCAGTTTTCATAAGTTATCTCTTCTTTTAATCTATTTATTCGATGATTGATATAATTAAGAAAAGACTGATACACAGTTATTGTTCCATTATTTATTCTGGTAAGACTTGAACTATTGTTCATTTCAAAATAGAAAAAGGGTGGTTGTTTTTTGAATAACTTTTTAATGGAAATAGCTATCGCTCTGCGGTTTTCACCATTTGATAGAGACGGGCATTCTACATCTTTCTATAGATGATTCAAAATGTTGTCTTATGATCCTGATGAGCGGTCAATGAAATTCAAAGCAGTACCTGAAGTCCTATAAAAGTTGTATGGAATTTCAATTGTAAGGGATGCATTAGATGCGCCTGCTCAAGATCTACAATTCTACACAAACCCGAAATTTTTATTGTGTTGTGTTCAAAAATTATACACCTCACACTGATAGTCAAAAACGCTCGGAACACCGATTTTTTCGCTAGTTTTTGAAGTTTTTATAATGCGATGTCTATAAGTTTTTGATCATTCTGAATCGAACGAAACTGTTTATATTGTAACAAGGTCATTTTTTATCATGTAAAACCAGTGCTGAGTATTTTACATCACAGATTGAATATCCTCGTCACAAACTATAATGATATAACATACTCCTACAAGTTGAATATCTCTTGAGTATATTGGATAAGGACATAGTTATTATCAAATCAATAGTTGGCAGCACGAAACAATAACAAAAAATAGATTTTTTTTATTAACCAGTCGTTCTTCAAGCTCGGAATCAAGTTCATCGTCATCATCATCATCATCATCTACTAAGTCTTCTTCGAGTTGCTCAGTGAAAACATCGGATTTTTTGAACGTTTCCTCGATTTTGTAAACGTGGTTGAGGTAAGTCGTAACTGCAGCTGTTTTCAAGTTCAATATCCATTCTTGTGCTAAGTGTCGAACATCGCTAAGGCGAAAATTGATATTGTGATCTCGCACATACTGCTTCAGACCTGCCCAGGCTAATTCCACCGGATTGAGCATACAATGTTTAATAGGCAAGCTGTAAATACTATGTATAAGATTGACGACAGCTATAAAGTTAACTTACCGCAAGATGTCAACATTGTAATTTTTAGCTGCTTCATCAATTTCATATCGTTTTTCGGGTAGATTTTTCATAGCAATCTCAAGTAATTCAGCTTTCACAGCTTTAACAGGAACATTTATGTTGTGAGCATTGAGCCATTGTATAATATATTCTTTCTGCCACGATCTTTTTGGTGGCATTGGATCGTTTGTGAGACGATTATGCCAAGGAGCATTATCGATTATGAAAACGATTTTGGTATATTTTCCTAAGCTCAAACGTAATAATGCGGATCAAAAAAGTGATTATTACCGAGTTCTTTTCGAAGAAGAAAAGCAGTACGATCGATCCATCCCAAAAAATGTGATGAGTCCATACGATTTTCTTCAGTAGTTTCAAATATATCAATAGATGATTTACGAAAACCTGAATTACCTATCAACGCAGAAATAACAAGACGTGACCCTGTGGAGAAAAAACTATTGGTAACTTTTAAGAAAGAAAAATCGTACCTTTGCCACTACTCTGTCGTAAACGACCAGCACCAGTATCTCTATCAGTTCACACAAAGATTTTTTCTTCGTTCTGATTGCACTACATTTCATCATGCCAAAAAACGACTGTTCCATCGTGTCGCAGTTCATTGATTTTCAAAAAGTAACGTGCACGAGCTGCCATATAGAACGCAGAATCAAGTGAAACAACAACTTTCAATATTCTTTTTTACGCAAAACCTAACTTTTTCATCGACCGCCACAATGACGACGTCGAACGGATCGGAAAATCAGGTTCGTCACTCAAAATTCGAGTGAGAACTTTGTCTACGGTCGGGTAGATCCGCTCAGCCAACATCAGATGAACATGATAACTATAAACAGTGTACATATATTAAATAGTTTATTCTGGTGATTGTGCTTACCGAACATTTTCTTTTTGATTTTCTGCCAAGATAATAGGAGGACGACCAGAATGACCACGCTTTTGTGATGATTTAGCAACAGGCATAAATGTTGTTAAAGTGGAATTGAATGCAGCGGTTACTGACGAAGATGATGATGATGATGATGATGATCTGGTACGTGGATTTCGAAGCCGAAAAGTAGCTCGAATCGCCGCATCTTCTTTATCTTGTTTTTCTTGATCCAGCTTCTTCTGTAATTGAATCAATTCGTTTTGCTTTTCTAACATCTCTCTTTCTTGTTCTCTCATTTCTCTTTTCAGTCTTTCAACTGACGGCATTGAAATACCAAGAATAGATTTAATACGATCATTTACATTGTTCAACGGGATTAAGTAACCACCTTATCGATAGATGAAATACTTTTGAATTATATAATACAGCGCGTTGCTTTTATTTTCTTTGAATTATGCAGCAGAAATAGCGATCTATACGTCTAATCCAGCGAGAAGAAAAAAAATTGTCTCATATCAACACATGGCTCGTACTTTTATCCGTACATAAAAGAGAACTTTTATAGGTGGCACACCGTCGCTGATAACTCGACAGAAAAGAAAATTTTATGTGATATCAATACCAAAATAGACGTATCTCTAATTCAGCCAGACATACTCAAGAGATATTCAACTTGTAGGATTATGTTATATCATTATAGTTTGTGACGAGAATATTCAATCTGTGATGTAAAATACTCAGCACTGGTTTTACATGATAAAAAATGACTTTGTTACAATATAAACAGTTTCGTTCGATTCAGAATGATCAAAAACTTATAGACATCGCATTATAAAAACTTCAAAAACTAGCGAAAAAATCGATGTTCCGAGCGTTTTTGACTATCAGTGTGAGGTGTATAATTTTTGAACACAACACAATAAAAATTTCGAGTTTGTGTAGAATTGTAGATCTTGAGCAGGCGCATCTAATGCACCCCTTACAATTTAAATTCCATACAACTTTTATAGGACTTCAAGTACTGCTTTGAATTTCATTCACCGCTCATCAGGATCATAAGACGACATTTTGAATCATCTATAGAAAGATGTAGAATGCCCGCCTCTATCAAATGGTGAAAACCGCAGACCGATAGCTATTTCCATTAAAAACTTATTCAAAAAACAACCACCCTTTTTCTATTTTGAAATGGACAATAGTTAATTCGAATTGATGTAATTCCACTTCATATTGATGTTCGAATTCTTCCATTTGACTTTCATATGCATCAACATACGTATTTAACCAAATACGTTTTGCTTCTTGCATAATTTTATAACTGTTTTGTTTGAATTCCACAGCAATATTGTCTTTAATTAAAGGAAAACAATCATCAAATGAAACGAACCGCTCTAATTCGTCGAAGCTTCGAGGTAAAAAATCAATTGATACTCGAGCTACTAATTTTTCAAGATCTTCGTAGAATTGTACTTGTTTTTCTTGTAAATGTCTAAGTCGATCAATCATAGTTTGCTATGAAAAAAAAAAAGAAGTGAAAAAAAAAGTTTTTAATAAATCAAATCATTTTACTTGATCACTTGTTAGAGGAAAACTCGATAAAGGGATGTGGGTGTGGGTGTGTCTAAGTTACCACGATAACTTAATAGATTATTTCGAATGTTTCTAAACTCAATCTCATCAAGTGGCCTCAGTACCAGTCGAAGTGGAGTCAAAATAAAAATTTCAAATCCAGACATGATACCTGAAAAATCTACTTTGAGGAATAGAACCTCAAGCAGATTCACCTACAATAGTAGTGGGTGTGTATAAGTTACTACGATAACCTAATAGATTATTTCGAATGTTACTAACTCAAACTTATCAAGTTGCGTTGGTTTACCGTAGTTGACTGTGAAGACTTGTTTGATAATGGCGGGATTGTGTGAAGTCTGTTGGTATCGGCGATAGGAAGTCTTTTAGGGTTGTGTTCGTTGGATTTGTTGCTATTTTTGTGCATGTTTGTTTGGAAGTATTTTGATGAGTTATATATGTTGTTGGTGAGGTATAGAAAATCGAACGAAGTTGTTGTTAGTTGTAAGTTGCTTGTGTATTGTTTGGTAAATTATGTTTGAATTGATATTTATTGGTGTGATATGATAATTTGATGTTTGTTTATGTTTTTTGTTTCTGTTTTAATCTGAAAAGATATGAATGCATAGAGGTTATGTTTTGAAGGTTTTTTTTTGTGTAAGAATGTAAGTTTATTAAATATATGAAAATAACAGAGTTCAAGGAGATAATTATAAATGTCATTGTTTTTTGATCATGTTTCTGATTAGTTCTTGAAGTGGGTTGTTTTCGATAGATGACCTATTAAATAGAAAAGAACATATAGATTGAGGCATCGATTACGTTTGAATTCATACTTTGTGGTTGGTTGGTCCTCTTCCGGCAAAGTCAAATAACTTATATCTGGCCGTTTCTTCACTAGAAAATCAATAGTTTTGAAGAAGAACGATTGATTTTGCTTGATTTTCATATAAATGTGTTGCATTGTTCGGTGGTCTTTTAAACATTGATACAAGTTTGTATTGAATTGTTGTTTGATTTTTCCTAAGGTACTTCCTTCCAAGTTTGATATATACGAAAGTCGCAATAGTATTTCTTTTTCTTGGTTCTGTTCAGTGTTTCTTTGTTTTTTCTTTGCTTTTCGATATCTATCATAATGGAAAATATGTTCACGGATGATATCATAATTAGATTTAGTAAATGATGGGTAGAGAGTCGATGCACCAAAATCTTCGATAATTTCTTGATGGGCTTCACTGAAGATAGAATCAGGCAGTTGATATCGTATAAGTTGACATTTGATTTCATCCGTTTCGTCGTAAAAAGTGTCGTTTTCGGAGCAGTATCGGAAGGCTTTTAAAAAAGCTGCATATAGCCATTTCCATGTATCTTGTATTATTGGTGATTGAATGATATCGGGAAATGATGATAGTAATTCGTTATCGTCGAACATTAGTTCATGATAAACACCTGTTTGAAGAATACCATTATTGTTTGTTATCAGGATATCACGAAAATGAATCCTCAATCCAATATGAGTTATATTCAATATAGGTTGTGGAAATTGTGAATTAGCCATAGCAAGTAATGTACGAAGTTCATCTTCAGATCTGTTCCATATAATAAATGCTTCATTACGATATCTAAATTCATTGGTGAATAGAAAT